AACACTGTGATTCCTCTAAAATAAACTGTTAATGGTGGTTTATAAGCATCTGAAACCTCATTGTGTGGAGAAATACTCAATGTTCACTTTAGTTCTCACTGTTTTGTGTCACATCTGTCTTCCCAAATGCCACACAAAAAGAAACTGGAAACTTTTCACATCAGTAGAAGTCTCAATTGGTAGCCTGTTAGCATTTCCCATCTCCATCAATTTTCTAAAGGAACCAACGTAACACAAACCCTTTAAGGTTGCATGTTGATAAAAGTTGTTTATAGCGCAGTAAAGTTGAGTATTTCAAATATTTGGCTCTGACTCAGAAAAAACTCCTGTCATCCCCTAAGTTCATGGATTCATGTTTATCATCTATCCAGTCCCTAAAGTGTAACTAAACCTGCCGCCTCCAGACATATTTTTAAAAAGACCTCCGAAGCCGGCGGTGCGAAGAGACATGGCCAAGTGCAGGGATGACGATGCTGTCCCGACACAGAGAAAGGACATTAAATATGATATGACTAAATGATCTGAGCATGTAAAATAAATAACAGCTTTAAAAGATGCTCAAATAAAAAAAAAAACACATTGGATTAATGCCTTGCTGTATTTTTGTCGTTGTTCTGGTCGAAACCACATAGAGGTCATATCTGATGCAGAATGTGAGCCTTTATATGCAGGAAATGGAACGTTATCGCTTCAGAAATGATCCCACCCTGACCTCCCAAATACGGGTTCCGAATGCACCATTATACTAGAACATGTGATGATGATGCAGTAGCCACACTTCAACCAATAGAGGGCAGCACTACAACTTTTTTTTGGCCAAATAAGCAGAATTAAACAAGCTAACACAAAAATGTCAAACTTTGTACAGTAGTAGCATAAAGATAGCACCCTTAAGGCCCAATTATACAGCTTCTCTTGAACAAAGAGAAAACAAACAAAGAAAGGAACAGTAGAGTTTGGGTTTAGTTACTCTTTAAGGTCCTATAGCAGTTGTAAAAAAATCTCCTTTTTAATGCCCGCTTTCGTTTGGTGCTAAAGGGATATAACTGATTGTGATACAGATATATTACACAGAAAAAGAAATTGACATCTCTGAATTTGCTTCACTGGAGGCACAAACTTGACCACTTAACTTGACGTCATGATGCACGATGATCCAGCAAAAGGTTGCGGAGCGCTAACAGCGGATGCTGTGCCAGGCTCAATCTACACAGTACGCGGATAGCAGCATCAAGAAGACATGAAACACAGCTTATAACTGCAGAAAGCAGAGGACAACTAACAGAACAGAAGTAAATTCTCAAACAGAGCCCTTTAAATGTTTGGACTTTTAAAATAATATTGCTGTTAGCTGCCAATTTAACTTTATTTTCTCTATCTGGATGTTTGCGGAGTGAAATGCTTCCATTTTCTTTTCTGTGGAGGATAAATCACCCATAAGAAAAGTTTGATTGTTGAAGCATTTTGTGCAGAAATGCCATCACAGTTTTGACAGATGAATCTGTTTCTAATCTTTCTGCTCCATTTGAAAATAAAATAAAAAAAAAACAGTAAACTAATAACATAATTATTAGAGCCAGAAAACTCCTTATTATTCGAATGCCAGACTTATTTGATAACCTTTGTTTGGAAACCAAAAACAAATAATGAAATAAACAACCTGTATTTTACTAGTAGGCCTATAGTTTAGCTTCTTTTTCTGGATTGAATGATTTTATAACTTTTTCCCTTTCTGAAACTTATAAATAATTTTAAAGGGAATTTTAGCATATTTTCTCTGAGGCTGCAGGTTACTTTAATGTAATGCACAGACTTGCAGGTTACTTTCTGTTAATGAAGGAAATCTCCAGAGTCAACTCTGAACAACAGACCTGTGAGGCTGTGCACAACACGGGTGTCATTTTAATTTATCACCAGTAGGGGGCAGACATCTGAAGAAACGCACTATAGAGCAACTTACAGGTTAGGTTACTTTGAAATAACTTAAAGGAAAATATATTATAATTATAGGCAGGTTTTATTCAGTTTTTTTTATTTTTATTTAAATACTTAAATTATTTTAAAGACCAATTATGTGTTTACTGGAACTTAAAAAGTTCTTGTTCATTTCTTAAAATGTACAGATAAATGTACAACAATTTCACAAAGGCCTTCTCAAAAGTTACACATAATAAAAATATATATTTTTTTAATTTTCAAACTAAGATATTTGAAACTAATAGATATTCATGATAATACTTTAGAATTTATTGTTTCTTGAATGGGCAATAAAGTACTCCTCAGCCCATGGGTTAGAAAAAGTAGTTTCTCCTCACAGCAAAGTAAGGTTTACGTTACGTTAGTTTAAAAAGTGCAAAGTTCAGGAAAGTAACATGCATTTAATCAGTTAAGCAGCTATATAGTTTCATGACAGTGTTGTGATTCAACACAGCTGAAGAGTCTGAGTCACACACCAACTTCCCCTTTTGTGGCTGGAACATGCCTCTTTCCAGAGAACTACCAGACCAACCCCAAACGACCCTCGGGCGAAACGCTTATTGTCTTGACAGTCTGAGTCAGAGGACGGGGGGGTCAAGGTCGGGAAGGGCTCCATGCAAACTCAGCTGTTTTAAATGATGGAGGCTTTTCTCAGAGGAAAAGATGTTTTTGCTCTTCTCTTCGGCAAGAGTAGCCTGGCTTGTGGTTGTGTTTTCGTCGTCGCTCTGTTAGTACGTCATATGCTTCGTTGATCTGATTGGTTTATTTGGCCCGTCTATCACCAACATAGGCCAATCAGCTAACCAGTATTTTCGCCCCTTCCCAAAATTACTTCAACGGAAGGTTTCCAGATGGATATGCGGAGCAAATCCATCTGGCGGAGTCGGGTTAGCTGACCGTAGCTCCCCCCCCCCCTTGTCCTGCTGTCAAAGCTACTGACTGCAGTGTATCGCCGTGCCGACCAGCTCAGCGTTGGTGAGAACGCAAAGCGTCTACCTGGTTAACCAGTTCTGCGCTAGCTGCCAGTTCTGCGCTAGCTGCCCTGCAGATTTTCCTTACTGAGGAGCCAGTGAGGCGGAGTTTGTTGCAGTCCAATCACGTGGGGACGCCATTGTGAATAACCGGATGTTACCTGCCTCAATTGAAGCCCATTGGATTCCCTTATTGCTCGCATCAGACTGATCTAGATTTCTCCGAAAGCCGACCTGGTTTGGGAACCAAGGTGATATCTGAAGCTGCTCCACCCTTCCTACACAGAAACTGACTTGCAGGTCGACTCACAGTTAAACTTCCTATTATTCCATTTGATGCTTAATCAAGGTGCTGAGCTTGGGCCAGTTCAGTTAAGTCGGGTCTTTGCAAAGCGTTTATTTGAACTTTTGGACTCTTTACGCTGATGTTTCATATAAAAAGAGTTTATAAAAGAGCTCTGATTTCATGGTGTGAATGAATGTGGTGTGACTGGTTGTGAGCGTCTCTATGTGTTCCTTTCATCTTGATTTCTTGGTTTCCTTCGTCCTGAGTTTGGCATTAGTGTAATTGAGGATTGAATACCCTGTAGAACCATGGCTAATTACATTCCAGGGGAAGTCATTTTCCTGAGTCTTAAGATCTATTTTCTGGAGATCGGAAGGCCCTCCTCTTTCGCAGAATAGGAACAGCCATTTTGTACCGTAACCTAAATTAAGATACGCCCCTTTGTCCAACCGTCCCCCTTTAGTCAGGTGATACGGTCCTTCATCTGGAAATCCCCACCAAGTAATTTCCCAGCCTATTTCTCCACCTCCCTAGTCTGCATGGTAGGGCCGCCATCTTAATTCTCCTTTGTTGATCCTTCTATATTGTTAACAATAAGCTGAAGAAAGTCACATTGTTTTAACAGTATCTATTATTGCTTATTATATCTGCAGCTAATTTAAACGGACATTAATGAATGTATTGACATTTGGTCTCCATTGGACCCCCTTTATAAGCCATCTCAACGGACTCTTAGACCCCTTTTTCAAATTATTCATTTAGTTTACCTCGTGTTTTACTTTCTACTAGTGTGTGATGTTTGCATAGATGTTAGATTTTCTGTTTTATTACAAATAAAGACATCTTTGTTTTTGCTATAGTTTATGTTTATTGTACAGCGAGTGGTTTATCACTCAGGCCAGATTAATTCTCCTTTTGGTGACATTTGAATAAACAGAGACAATATTTCTTTGGGTTGTAATTAGTAGCTCTGCTGATAGCCTAGCCTAAGTCACTAAACTGGTGAGAATAACTGGATTTTTAACAGCCGGTCCAGAAGCCACCTGGACTGTGAGATGCCTAAGATGTTGGTGAGTAAGCAGGCTATAGTTATAATTGTTCATCCAAGATTATTAAATTGGTTTTACCCTAAATTTGAAATGATTTATCCTTTAACTTCCAATAAGTAATATCTAAAATGTAATCTTTAATGTAAACTTTAAGTTGACAGAAAGTAACCTGCCAGGTTTCTGAAAGCAAGTGCAAAGAAAGTAACCTGTATGTCACATGAAAGTAACCCTTCAGTTCAATTCAGTTTGCAATGGGTGGCTGGATTTTTGCCAGTTTGGGACTTAATTAAAAAACCTAAAATTTCCAAACAAACTTTAGAGGAAACTCAACTTGAATCCTGTTGTTTTCTTTAGACTCTGTTTGAGAACTCAGAGTGTCTTCCATCCTTTTCTAGAGAACATAGTCTACTGGTTTTTCTGACTCATTTCCTCATTGATATGTAGGTAGAAAGGAACAGCAAGAAGAACAGGCCACACAAAGGTAGAGAATCTAAATACTTCAGATTTCGGTGCCTGAACTTAGAGAAGACGCCCCCCAGCTGAGGCGAGCGGAAGCGTCCGCCCCAGACTGTGTGACCCTGAATGCATTGCTTCTGTTATCTGAGATAGACTATGGCTTTAGAAGGGAATAAATCAGAGGGAAACCAGCATCCAAACATCCGTCTTCCTTTAAAATGTTGTTAGACGAGTAATTTTTGTCACCCCCCCCCCCCCCCCCCCCCCCCCATCTGTCTCGCATCTTTTTAGAAAAATAGAAATCAGGAAACCATTATTACAAAAATAAACCAAAATATTCGTCCAGATTCTACGTCCACATGACAACTTCACAGAAATATGGACTTATATTGCACAGCGAGGGATTCCCTCCCATAGGAAGTAAATCACTGACACCATTAGTAGAAAAAAGAAACACGTTAAAATGATCCAAATAGGAGACCCCTGCATGTATTTTATTGTTTTTTTCTTTATTTCCACAGAGAGACGATGGCTCGATTCCCAGGCCCTCCTACATCCATCAGGAAGAAAATGAAATCCTCCAAAAGCTGCTCCGAGGGAAGAGTAAAAATCCAAAAACACAGGATGAGTTTTGGATGAAGGCACAGAGTTTCAAGAACAGGAATGTTGATGCTGTCTGGAAACGCAGCAGATGGTTCCGTTCCTGCGGTCCGATTGACTCCCCTGATGGTCGGAGGGCGGAGCTTCCACTCTCTGCGGAGAAAAGACAAAGAAGACAAAACAAGTTTAGTTTCCTTTTCAATCATTCTTCATTCTTACCAATTATTTCACACTAATGTTGTTTTTTTAAGAGCAATTATCATTATCATCAATACCCACAACCGCAGTAAAGCATGGTGGTGGCAACCTCATAATGAGGGGATACTTTAACTCAGCATGAGTTTGAAGATTGGATGAAGCTAAAAAAGGAACAATGTTTAGCAGCTCACACTGAGCCTGGTTCTGCTGGAGGTTTCTTCCTGTTCAAAGGGAGTTTTTCCTCTCCACTGTCGCTACAAGCATGCTTAGTGTGAGGGATTGCTGAAGAGTCAATGAGTCGATGCAATCAGCTGGTTTTCCTTAGATAGAAAACTTTGAATCAATCTGACTGGATGATCTGGTGAACTGGAAAGTGACCTGAGATGACATGATGTGAATGGACACTATAGAAATAAACTGAATAGAATTAGTTAAAATATGTTAAAGTCTGTTAAACACTGAAGGCTGGGTGCAGGTTCACTTTCCAGTGGCACAACCTACATCATCAAACCAAGCGACAGTGGAAGAGATTAGAAGAGGGAATAGAGATGTGTTAGGGTGGCCTAGTTGAAGTCAAGACCTGATTCTAATTCAGTATCTGTAGCTTAACTACAGTAAAACCAGGATTCCTTCTTTTCAATCTGGTTGCATTTGAGCTATTTTGCGAAGTCTGATTAAAATGCTGGTTTCTAATTCTAATTTTACACAAGACGTCTGCATGTCACTGTACGCCACTTATTTTTATTAGCGGCAGTTTTTATTCTTTTAAAAACCTTGAAGCATTTTTATCTTCTTTCTATCTATCAAACACATTTGAAGCTGTCGCATCGTCGTATATAGAAAAAATGAAAACTGCAGAAATACTTAGAGAGACGTGGTGAGTAGAAATCTGAGTGCTGACATTTAATCTGCATCTGATGAAATTAATAACCAGGAAAGTCCCTTCACTGATGTAATGCATGAAGCTTCACCATAAGGGTGGGAGGTCTCCCTTTTTATGCGCCTCCTCCCCCACCTTAACACCGTCTTCCTCGAAGTTAATCCCCCCCATCAGCGGCAGATGGTCCAGGGAGCACCCACGGCCGCGCCCTCAGCAGCTCCTGTAGTATGAATGATTGCCCGGTCGTGGGCATTAAGTTGGATCAGTTTAATCCACCGCAGCATATGCAGCAGCAAATCCAATGGTGAGGAGGACTTTCCTTCTCTGATTTCCCTCCACATAGACGGTCCAAGACCAGGAGGTGTTAGCTTGGCTCGCCTTTCCTCACCGATGCTCACTTATCCCGACACAGATGCCATCAAAGCATTTAACGACTCCCCTTTGAATCCCTCTGACCACCATGTTCCTCATCTGGGGAGTTTTACTCTCTTTTCCACTGTTGCTCCTTCCTGATATCTCCACCAGTTTATTGAGATCTTCAAAAAGTCACTTCAGCTGCAACATTAAACATGTGAAGATATTTGTTTCAGAAGTGAAAACTACAGACATATTTCACGAATTGCTTTCTCAGTATGATCTTAAACAAAGATAGTTTAAAAGTCAGAATACATGATACTAACGCATATTTTTGTGACATGCTGGAGATTTCCTATTCAAATAAGCAAGGAAACAAAGGACCTACAATAGCAGTTATTCTATATTCTATTTCCGAACAAGATATGTTATGTATAAGACAATCTATAATAAATATTCAGTCTGAAATCTGGTCTCTATAGTCAATCCAAGACGAGCAGCAGGGAAAAGCCTCATAGGCTGATAAATGAAAGCTGTAATCTTAGATACGACCAATCCTATGGCTAGAGAGGTAAGGTCTAGATGTATGGCACATAGAAGGACCAGGCCATGAGTATCAGAGCAGGTCTACCACTCAAAGTCAAGATTGCAGGTTAAGGCATGTAAAGATTCCCAGGAAATAATCCCGCATGGATCATCATCATCATCGTGCTTTCATGGAGCAAGAAAGATCACATGGTACGCTATAACCAAGCAGCTGAGTTAGGTTACAGAAATGTCTGCTTCCTTCCTTCCTTCCTTCCTTCCTTCCTTCCTTCCTTCCTTCCTTCCTTCCTTCCTTCCTTCCTTCCTTCCTTCCTTCCTTCCTTCCTTCCTTCCTTCCTACCTACCTTCCTTCCTTCCTTCCTTCCTTCCTACCTACCTTCCTTCCTTCCTTCCTTCCTACCTTCCTACCTTCCTTCCTACCTTCCTTCCTTCCTTCCTTCCTTCCTACCTTCCTTCCTTCCTTCCTACCTTCCTACCTTCCTTCCTACCTTCCTACCTTCCTACCTTCCTTCCTTCCTTCCTACCTTCCTTCCTTCCTTCCTTCCTTCCTACCTTCCTTCCTTCCTTCCTACCTTCCTTCCTTCCTTCCTTCCTTCCTACCTTCCTACCTTCCTTCCTACCTTCCTTCCTTCCTTCCTTCCTTCCTTCCTTCCTTCCTTCCTTCCTTCCTACCTTCCTACCTACCTTCCTTCCTTCCTTCCTTCCTTCCTTCCTTCCTTCCTTCCTTCCTTCCTTCCTTCCTTCCTTCCTTCCTACCTTCCTACCTACCTTCCTTCCTTCCTTCCTTCCTACCTACCTTCCTTCCTTCCTTCCTTCCTTCCTACCTTCCTACCTTCCTTCCTACCTTCCTTCCTTCCTTCCTTCCTTCCTACCTTCCTTCCTTCCTTCCTACCTTCCTACCTTCCTTCCTACCTTCCTACCTTCCTACCTTCCTTCCTTCCTTCCTACCTTCCTTCCTTCCTTCCTTCCTTCCTACCTTCCTTCCTTCCTTCCTACCTTCCTTCCTTCCTTCCTTCCTTCCTACCTTCCTACCTTCCTTCCTACCTTCCTACCTTCCTACCTTCCTACCTTCCTTCCTTCCTTCCTTCCTTCCTACCTTCCTTCCTTCCTTCCTTCCTTCCTTCCTACCTTCCTTCCTACCTTCTGTCCTTCCTACCTTCCTTCCTTCCTTCCTTCCTTCCTTCCTTCCTACCTTCCTACCTTCCTTCCTTCCTTCCTTCCTTCCTACCTTCCTTCCTACCTTCTGTCCTTCCTTCCTTCCTTCCTTCCTACCTTCCTTCCTTCCTTCCTTCCTTCCTTCCTACCTTCCTTCCTTCCTTCCTTCCTACCTTCCTTCCTACCTTCTGTCCTTCCTTCCTTCCTTCCTACCTTCCTTCCTTCCTTCCTTCCTTCCTTCCTACCTTCCTTCCTACCTTCTGTCCTTCCTACCTTCTGTCCTTCCTTCCTACCTTCCTTCCTACCTTCTGTCCTTCCTACCTTCTGTCCTTCCTTCCTTCCTACCTTCTGTCCTTCCTTCCTTCCTTCCTTCCTACCTTCCTTCCTTCCTACCTTCCTTCCTTCCTTCCTACCTTCCTTCCTTCCTTCCTTCCTTCCTACCTTCCTTCCTTCCTACCTTCCTTCCTTCCTTCCTACCTTCCTACCTTCCTACCTTCCTTCCTTCCTTCCTTCCTTCCTTCCTTCCTTCCTTCCTTCCTTCCTTCCTTCCTTCCTTCCTTCCTTCCTTCCTACCTTCCTACCTTCCTTCCTTCCTTCCTACCTTCCTTCCTACCTTCTGTCCTTCCTACCTTCTGTCCTTCCTTCCTACCTTCCTTCCTACCTTCTGTCCTTCCTTCCTTCCTACCTTCCTTCCTACCTTCCTTCCTACCTTCTGTCCTTCCTACCTTCTGTCCTTCCTTCCTACCTTCCTTCCTACCTTCTGTCCTTCCTTCCTTCCTTCCTTCCTTCCTTCCTACCTTCCTTCCTACCTTCTGTCCTTCCTACCTTCTGTCCTTCCTTCCTACCTTCCTTCCTACCTTCTGTCCTTCCTACCTTCTGTCCTTCCTTCCTACCTTCCTTCCTACCTTCTGTCCTTCCTTCCTTCCTTCCTTCCTTCCTTCCTTCCTTCCTTCCTACCTTCCTTCCTACCTTCTGTCCTTCCTACCTTCTGTCCTTCCTTCCTACCTTCCTTCCTACCTTCTGTCCTTCCTACCTTCTGTCCTTCCTTCCTTCCTTCCTTCTGTCCTTCCTTCCTTCCTTCCTTCCTTCCTTCCTACCTTCTGTCCTTCCTTCCTTCCTACCTTCTGTCCTTCCTTCCTTCCTTCCTTCCTTCCTACCTTCCTTCCTACCTTCTGTCCTTCCTACCTTCTGTCCTTCCTTCCTACCTTCCTTCCTTCCTTCCTTCCTTCCTTCCTTCCTTCCTACCTTCTGTCCTTCCTTCCTTCCTTCCTTCCTTCCTTCCTTCCTTCCTTCCTTCCTTCCTTCCTTCCTTCCTTCCTTCCTTCCTACCTTCTGTCCTTCCTTCCTACCTTCTGTCCTTCCTACCTTCTGTCCTTCCTTCCTTCCTTCCTTCCTTCCTTCCTACCTTCCTACCTTCCTTCCTTCCTTCCTTCCTACCTTCCTTCCTACCTTCTGTCCTTCCTACCTTCTGTCCTTCCTTCCTACCTTCCTTCCTACCTTCTGTCCTTCCTACCTTCTGTCCTTCCTTCCTTCCTTCCTCCCTTCCTTCCTACCTTCTGTCCTTCCTTCCTTCCTACCTTCCTTCCTTCCTTCCTTCCTTCCTACCTTCTGTCCTTCCTTCCTTCCTTCCTTCCTACCTTCCTTCCTTCCTTCCTTCCTTCCTTCCTTCCTTCCTACCTTCCTACCTTCCTTCCTACCTTCCTTCCTTCCTACCTTCCTACCTTCCTTCCTTCCTTCCTTCCTACCTTCCTTCCTTCCTTCCTTCCTACCTTCCTTCCTTCCTTCCTACCTTCCTACCTACCTTCCTTCCTTCCTACCTTCCTACCTTCCTTCCTACCTTCCTTCCTTCCTTCCTTCCTTCCTACCTTCCTTCCTTCCTTCCTACCTTCCTACCTTCCTTCCTACCTTCCTACCTTCCTACCTTCCTTCCTTCCTTCCTTCCTTCCTTCCTACCTTCCTTCCTTCCTTCCTTCCTACCTTCCTTCCTTCCTTCCTTCCTTCCTACCTTCCTACCTTCCTT